AAATGGAATGTAAGTTGAACAAGAACATTTCTAAGCTTTTTGAAACGTTAAACAATTTTTATTAACTTGGCTGACTTGGCATGCAGCTATTCGATTTGAATGTCACTATAGAACCGACTTATTGACAGCAATGATCGATACAACACAGCAAATTATTTAATGAAACATAATTTTAACGTAATTTAGAAACGGGATGGCGACCAATAACAAACGACAACATAACATTTGGGAACTTGATAAAACTATAGAAGTGAAGTGAATGAGAATAATTGGAGGACCACGAATTTTTTGTTTAAACTCTGTCATTCAGGAATAATATATAATTGGCATATAATCACTTAATATGAGTTTACACAATCATGAACACCTTTTATCATAAATTAAGGTGAATATCAAATTCTGATTCATTATTCTATTAGATTGAATAGCCAACCGACAAATTTGCGCATTAATTTTTTGGTTTGCTCTGGGAAGTTGCCTACACTCACATACTTCGATCTGCAACGATAAACCCAAAATCGATAGTTCGTTGTGCATCTGTATAGACTGATTAGGGAAATTCGACCTCCAAATCTCCGAGTGGTCGGATCTGCATCGTATCTACAGTAACCCACACTATTCGACATCGTTACCCCCATTGGCGATTGACTGGGCCAAGTCGTTTATTGGCTTTATTAACTTGGCATTCAAATATGCTTAGAAAATTTCAACTCATTGTCTATATTAACTCCTAAATCTTTTTCCATTGTCGACTTGAACATCTTCACTCTGACGTTGCGACCGTGTCTTCTCATACTGTAATCTTGCTGCTCATTATTTTTGCCAAGGTGGATAACTTTACATTTGTCAGCGTTAAAACGCAGCTGCCACTTATCAGCCCAGTCAACCAGCCTGTCAAGACCACCTTGTAACTGTACTTTTGGCGGCGTATTCTTCAGTGTATTATAAATTTTTGTGTCGTCAGCATACATCGAGCAAACGCTAGACACAGTTTCTGGCGGATCGTTTATAAACGCAACGAATAGAATTGGCCCGATAACGCTTCCTTGTGGCACGCCGCTGCGCACTGAAGCCCAGTCTGAAATGGACCCATTAATACTGACACGTTGTCGCCTCCCTACTGGAAAATTTCTGTTCCATTTGAGTACATTACTATCAATTCCCAAAGACTTCAATTTACGCAACAGCTGCTCATGTGGGACACTGCCAAATGCCTTGGCAAAATCAAAGTACACTGCATCTACTGGCTACCTTTCGTCCAACAGGCGGATCCATTCGTTCACAGTAGACAAGAGGTTTGTGGTGCAGGATCTCCCGGCAATAAAGCCATGTTGACAGTCTGAGAGGAGATTTTTAGCAGTCAAACTATCATCGATCATCGATCCCTCACAACAGATTCCATTACCTTGCAAACGACACTTATCAAACTGGCAGGGCGATAGTTGCCCAGGCAGCTTCTGTCACCTTTTTTGAACAATAGTGTCACGTGAGCTTCTTTCCAGTCAGCCGGCATGATACCTTCGTTCAAAGTTTGTCAAAAAATATCGTCAGAGGGCCGGCTAGGACAGTGCTAACACTTTGAGTAATCTGGGGTGGAAGCCGTCTGGTCTACCTGACTTGTTTGGATTTAGAGCGATTAGGCGCTTGAGAACCTCTTCTTCTTGTACATATATCAAAACTTGTTTATTTAGAGCCGACTGGGCGCTCCTCAATAGCTGGAATACTGTTCAAGTCCTCTTCAGTGAATAAGCTACTGAAAAAATGATATAATACGTTAGCCTTGAACTCATCAGAAGATATCTTGCGTTGATCTACTTTCAAATCAGAAATACAGTCCTTCATCTTGCACTTCGAGCTAGAGTACAAAAAGAAGTCTTTCGGGTTCTTTTTTGCATTTTTAGCAATACTTTTTTCGAGGGTTTTTTCCCAGCTTTCGAGGGGTTCAGCTTTCTTTAGCTTGATTTCGAGCTCTTTTGTATAGGTTATAGTCACCATCGCTGCGAGTCTGTAAATAACGCTGGTATGCTTCCTTCTTTGTTTTCAGCTTAGATAAAACTGTACTGTTCATCCACCGAGTTTTTTTGGCTCCACCAAGCTTAATTTTAGGTACACACGCATCAACTGCAGACATAACCGTGTCCTTGAGAAATGACCATGATTCAGCCACATTCATGTCCTTAATACAGTTAGAAATATTCGCTGCATTCACTGCTTCACGGAGTTTATCATAGTCGCCTTTCGCAAAATTCAAACGCTCACGCTTCCGAGCCGTCTTTCCTGTACAGCACTTAAGTCTGAAAAACAATTATTGGTGATGGCTTTTGCCCAACGGAGCCTCGTGACGAAGATTATCTAACACTGATTCATCACTAGGAAACACCAGGTCTAGAATATTGGGAGTCTGTTTACTTCTATAATGGGTTGGTTTGGTAACGTGCTGGACTAGGAAGGAGTCTCTCACAGACTCCATGAACAGGGATGCTGGGTGATTCTCTTTCCTTGGAGAGGATCCATCCTTCCAGTCTAGCTCTGGATGATTAAAATCACCAACGATCAACGTGTGTGACCTACGGAAAGTCATGCTCGGTAAAAGACTGTTTAATACTTTATCGTTATCAGAAGCACTGTTTGGTGATCTATAAACGACGCCTATGAGGAGGTTATCTTTGCCTTTGTGAGAAAGTTCGCACCATACTAATTCTCTTGCTGATTGATGTTCTGCAGATAACTTGACTTGCTGGGCACCATAAGAGGTTCTAACCCACAAAGCACTGCTCTTCATTTAAGTTATAAAAACAATCAAAACCTGGCAACTGAAATTCAACAGGTACACTTTCCCCCCGTGATTTTTAGGGAGTGTTTCTGTTATACAAATAATGTCTGTGCACTCGTGTTCGATCACAGTTAATCGTACACTTATTTTGTTCACAACAAAATACGAGTTCGTGTAAAAACACTTTAAAGCTTTGTGTGCACTTTCACTTTGATGCATGCTTTTGCTTCTTGCATTATTTACAGGCCTGGATCTATGGACATGTATTGGATAATACAGTGAAATAATACAGCAAATACAGTACTGTATTGTACAATACTGATATTACAGTATAATATTCATCAATTCTTCTGTCAATCCGAAAAATGGTCGTAAATCTTTTGATAATTAAAAATGTTAATTTTTATTCATGTTTCCACAATAATGCAAATAAAATAAAGCCAGATTTCGAGTCTGGAACAAGTGAGGACAGTGTGCACGATTTGTGTGTAGAGTTTGGGTAGGAGAAGTGTGCAGCCAGACGTAGCATGTGACGTCAGAAGGAAGCTCGAACGAGAAATTTTACCACGTGAGGCCTTTTGGGCTCGATAGATCGTTGGGATCACCACATTTATCCTGCCTCTCCACCTTGCCGCAGCCAATTACCGGCTTTACCGATCCTTCCGTTTTGCTGCAGGAAATGAGGTTAGGTTACGTTCTGTTTGGTATGATTCGGTGGAGAGTCAGAGTAAGTGTGGAGGGGTTACACATCTGTAGCCTGTTCGGGTGGATGTTTGTTGTTCCAAATATGATGGTCCTTGATGGGTGTGAACTGTTATAGCGAACATGTGTGTGTTTCTATGTTTGAAAGCAGCCGTGGAGTCTGTAAGGAATTAGACATAAATGGCTACGGCAATATTGCGTTGTATTTGCTGTTTTGAATTTCGCAATTTAATTTTTTAAGTATCCTTAATGTCAGTGATGGATTAGATGATTATATAAATGATAATAGGGATCTATGTCTGTGACTTGGTTACTAATCTTTTTTGTTCGAGTGCCGGAAGTTGTGTCGTAGAATGCAAGTGAGGATCATAGTGAAAGAAGATGTTTGATGTGTCTTGGATGATGATGTTTATTAACAGCTGATATATTAGCTTTGTTACGTCTAACGTATTCGAATATTTTCAAAGAGACTGCGTCTTTCACATAGAATAGAATAGAATAGAAGTGTCGGCACTGAAGAAATAGGCCCATGGCCTGTTGCCGATTTTTGAATTTTTCGTGACTTGATTCACAAGGGATCCGGCCTTTGGAACCCGATCTTTCCATAACTGACGATTGATTGAGATAGCTGCTGGACTTATTACCTGGTCCGTAATTTGCTAGGTATTTTAAGACTGAACATATGCTCTTGCATAGCTTCGTCTATAGTCTGTTCGTGAAGGCGTTCATACACGGAGCTATCATACATAGCGCTATCATCCGTATTCCTACTCGTTTCGTTAAGTGGTTCCTGGGGGGACTTAAATGGGATATTTACAGCGTCAGTATTGTTTACGGCTAGTCTAACCCGAGCCCAGAGATAAATGATTCATTATATTGATCGTCGTTGTTTTTTTTCCTGTGGTCTCGGTCTTCTTTTCGAGTAATTTTTACCAGTGGTGGAGGCTCATTCATATTCGTAATCATCCTCGGTTTGCAGTTCCGACTGGTTCAGTGTTATCGTCTGAGGTCGTCATTGTCTATGAATTTGGTTCTAAGCCGAGTTAAAATTCTAAGCTGCAACCGGCGATGGTCTTAGCCGGCTTAAGCCGGATAGTGCCGTGAAACAATAACCGGCTAACTGCGTACCTCTACATACATCACACGTATACGTGCACCGTGCCTCTACGTGCATGCCACACCTACAAGCACCCCACTTCTCGTGCATCGCACGTCTACGTGAACCTTACCTCAACAGGCATAAACCGTAGAGTCAAGAGAGATAACATGATAAAATGGCCAGCATTTTCAGCCAGCCCTACTGTCTTCTCCGAGTCATGAAAACTATTTAAATTTTTGAGAAATTCATAAATAAACTAGGTTATTTTTCAAAGCCTACTTTTCAACTAGCCTGTAAAACAAGTTAATGACATATTTCAAAAAGAAATAAGACCCAAAAAATTGTAATTCATAAATTAACCTCGAAGATTTCCAATCTGTCTCGCGGATTTTGCGTGACACGTCCTGACCTCACTCCCATTTCCAGGTATCGCTGGCAGCAGCGCAAGATCCTGCGGCAACACCAGATCCCTGTCACCGTTCCGCTCTCACGTAAGTGCAGAAACTGCCCACCAACGCAGTAATAAGCGCTGTGTTCAGTATTTGTTGTACATGTGCTGGAAGTATCTTACACGCACTTATGCGTCGCGGGCCGAAATTGCCCAGTCAAAGTTGATGTTTCGATATCTCATGTCATTAAAATAAGGTGCAATTTCTTGAAAATATATATACAGACATTGGATTTCAAGGAATATGTTACTCTATGCAATCTTAACGTCTTGTAGCTGGCACATCGCACATTTGACTTTGAACACGAAGTATAATAGTCCGGGCGTTAAGCATACACTGGTCTATCATCGATTCTTGTCATTGTTTTGACCGATCAAAAACCGATTTTTCTATCAAAAAACCGATCTTTTACAGCTTTTCTGAGTGCTTGTCTTTTATAAGTTCAAAAAGGGAAAGACAGGTCTAGTCCGAGATTTACCGCATAGCAAGGTCTAGTCTGTTTATGAACGACTTCATCGCCGAGGCGTCCGCGGCGTCAGCATGACGGAATAATTCCCAAGAAAACAAGCATGAATCTTATAAGACGATAGTTGTCATGTACGCATACTGACCTGCCTGCGTCTCACGGGTCTACGTGGCCAACGAATGAACTATGATTACGAGTGAACAAATGGTGGACTATCGTTAGGCCTGCTGTATACAAGTTCCTTTATTCTGATAGTTCGAAAATCGTTTGATCAACATAGGACTCACCGCAAATCGTTCAACCACGATAGGAGAAGCACTCTTCCTGACGTAATAAGCGTATAGCGGCTAACTTAAATCAATCACTACGGTAGGAGAAACGCTTAATTGCGTGCAATTAAATTTTCAAAGCTATATAATGAAACCGTATTCTTTCATGCTGTGAGGTCCAATTTTTTTATCTCTAGTTCAAGAGAAATCAAACATTCAAGTCAAACGTCTGTATCAGTTATATTTCAGATCTTTTCCAACTTACTATTCCAACTCATTTATGGTCATATTTATGTAGACCATGCCATTTGGCGACTGAATGTAGAAAAAATATTTTTATCGAAATGCTTGGCATTCTAAAGGAAGGTATCAGTGAAAGTTTTGATGACTAGATAAGTGAGCGACAGGTCTTAATCATAATCCTATCCATAAAACAAATGATGCTCTGAAGAATAAGTATTCAACTCAAAATAAGTTGAAAGCATATCTTCTGTGCAAGATACCTTATTAATTTTTTTTATTATCCCATCAAAGATGGCGATCTCCAAGAAATGGAAACGATCCGAAAAAATTTCGAAGGAAGTTGGGAGCTTGCTCCGAAGTACGTCCGGAAGATATTAAATCTTGAATGCAGTGATAAGCAACAAAATCATTCATATAAGGAATATGTGAAAATAAAACACAGTAAATTCTCTGAAGGTACGTGGAAGAAGTTATGTCCAAACTGGCGATACCGTGAAATTTTCGAGGACAAAACTACTTCTGATGATATGGATACAACGGAACTCTTTGCCCTGTTCTGTGCACTCTTCCAAACCAAATATAGCGAGAGTGACATAAAAGAACTGAAGACTAGATTAGAAGCTGTCAAAGACATAAGAAATGAAATAGCGCATGAGGGCAGCGCTATGAAAAATCCGAACAAACTTCCAGAACTCCATAACAAGTTGCTGGAGCTCATCCAAGTGGCAGGGAAGTTTTACAAACTCCCGAGGCGTGAGGTAAAAGCGTTGGAGGTTGAGTTGCGAAGCGATATAAGCAGGGGGTTTTCTCCTAGTGATCTGGAACAGACTTATTTCTCTCATTGCTTGTGCAGTGAAGGGAAACAAAATGCTGGGCGTCTCTTGGCAAATTTCACCAACGAAATAACCTGCGGCGTAGATCATCTCAAAGTGTCGGCTGACTTTTACCCACCGAAACTAACGCTGCCGGATGAAGACGAGAAGAAATTTCCTTACACAGAAGTATTCGAAGCTACGACAAACGTTGTTATTGTGTCTGGCGTTGCTGCAGCTGGCAAGACGACGCTACTCAAGACCTTAATCCAACAGTTCCTTGGATTGCAGTGCGAAGTCCCAGACTACCTAAAAACTTTCGACCTCCTTGTCTTCATCGAGTGCAGGGATGATACTAAAGACAAGTTGCATCAAGTTGTTCGCGTGCACTTCGGAAACATTTGCTCAAAAATAGGCAAAGAAAATGTTATGCAAGCTCTCTCGTGTCTTGTCGTTCTGTTCTTGGTCGACGCATTTGACGAGGCCAATGGAAATTCTATGGCGGTGCTGCGAGAATTGTTTCAGAAAACATGGCACTCCGAGTCACGCATTATTATCACAACTCGTACAAAAGCAATTGAAGAACTCGAGCAGTTCATTCGCCAGAGTAGTTTTACTCATTACCATATCACTCCTCTCTCAGAGCTGGCGGAGCAGTTGGAGTTTATCAGAGGATGTAAGAAAAATCTAACCAGTGACCCAGTTCTCTGTGCAGCGATGCAAGATCGATTCTCCAAACTGAACCCCGAAGTTAGAAGATTGTTAACGCAGCCCATTTCTCTACTTCAGTTCTGCACCATCTTTCTAACTTCTCCAAAAATGATCGACAATTGGAACAGCGCAAAAGACTTGTCAAGGGACACATTGATGCTATACAAGACAGTAATTGAAAGAAAATTGTGCGATTCGCACGTACCCGACAAATCAGTTCTGATCAACAAGATTTTCAAGGTCATCGGCAAGTCCGCCTTGAAGTATCTTTCCATGGACAAGATCGCCTTCTCCAAGGACGAGTTCTTGCTGTTTGAACGAGAATGCCACGACCAAATGACCGCACACAGTGCCGCCATGGCAATCGACTCAAAAGTTTTTCTGTCCCTAATTTTCACCGTCAAAAGAAATTTGTCTGGAACCACTGCTGCCACATACTCATTTAATCACAAATCAATACAAGAAAAATTTGCAGCACTGTTTGTTTTCGAAGAACTGAAGAACGACAAGTCTCTCCATGAAATACTAGGCACAACACAGGCGATGAAGGCGAGGTGAGATTACAATTTTGTGTGATATGCCTGTAGAAATAAAAACAATGCATTTAATCTTTAAAAGGGCAAGAAAATGTCCATCAAACATCTGCCGTGCAATATAACATGAGTAATTTATATTTAAATGAATTTCTTAATTCATGTAAACAAAATCTTGCTACAATTTCGAAAGATATCAATACCAAATATGACTACCAAACGCATCGACGGAAAATGATCATGATCGGGCTGTATTCAATCAATATTGTTTCGTCGTGTCCACTTGCAGGGCTACAACTCCTATACTATATTGGATGGCCCTTGCAGCCAAGCTGTTGCAAAAAACAGTGAACAACTTAGGACCTGGGAATGCAAAGCTGCACCTTGTTTCTAAACAATCCTTAACTTGGTCGTTCATCTATGAAGAGATAAATGGTTAATAGTTGAAATGCACCCTCAATTCTCCGTAACAGATACTCAAGTCATAATTTCGTTAACATCCCCCAAAAAGCTCTTTCGATAGATCTTCAGCTACAGACCCTTTCCACAATTTTATCCGATTACCTAGAAATGTATGTTTTCCTCTCTCCAGCACATATGATGCCTAATTAAATCTGTCGTTTTATGCTGGCCTAAAAATGCATAAATAATTTTATTGATTCATGCATATTTTATTACAGCTTCCTGGATATACTGCCGTACGTCATGCAAGACCTAAGCAGCAGTCCGTTGCTGTTCCAACGCCACTGGCCTGAACTGAGGGAAGTCATTACCGAAACTGGGCTCTACAGCTGCGATGACTGGCAAAACTTGCTGCTCCAGGGTCCTGGCCTCATCGAGCTGGCGAAACACGCGGCCAAGATCACGATCACAGCGAGCGATGAATGGACCGTTCGCACCGGTGGGTCAGGTTAAAGAGTTGATCATTTGTGACATTAGGCGCGGTAGTGACCATTATTAGGATTACAGAGAGAAGATATTAATTGTAAATGATGCATGTCAAAACTGAAAAATTCCTTAGCAAACAAGATTTGATATCAGCAGCTCATTCTAGCATTTTCTGCTTGTAATTCTAATCTAAAATTATATCGCTAAAGGCTTCGATAATCTTTCCGTCTTCAGCTCGCAATCTGGAAGCAGCATCACTAATGTTGTCACACGAGCAACCTCGACTCATCAACATTAAATTACCGTCTGCTGAGCTGGCCGCAGCTGGCTCCAGCTGGTCTGGATTGACAAGCCTCCACCGCGGACAACTTGAGCTGCACCTCGAGGAGAGTTCCGTGGTTACACAAGCGCCATGTGAAGACCTGCTCGAGTGCCTAAACGGTTCCAGGCTAGTGACGCTTCATTTTTAAGTATTAAATTGATTCTTGACATGTAACTCATTGCCTACTCACAGCAAACTTTAGTATATATCTATACTATATATACTATATAGTATATACTTATATATAGTATATATATGTTACCAAAATTTTAGCTATCAATAACATTGACGATGGTTATTTGGTTAATTGACCCCTACAGGTTACACTGTCTGTGCTTACTTTACCGGTATAGTTTCCGAATTGGAATTCACCCGTACATATGCTAGCTCTGCACCGACAGCGGCACGTAATGTTATGAATTATCTTTAGTGACGCTTGCCACGCGCAGGTGTCAGCTCACTGAGTTGGTTGGCAGTATCAGCAGTGCCGCTAGCGTCTCCGCTGTGGCTTCTATCTCCACGGCGGCCAATACGGAACTTTCCATCTCACTCTCGGCCCCCCTCAACTTGAACCCTCTGCAGGGCAAATATAAGAGTCTAGGTAAGTGCTAGGTATTCATTTGAGCACGATATTCTGCCGGTCACGTGTAGGTTCACATTTAGGACAACTCTAATCACTTTCTTCTGCAGCTCATTAACATGAGTTTAGTTGTTGTTTCATTTGCAGTAGTGAAAATCCGTCCACTGGAAGATTCTTGGGCTTCAGGGCTCCAGCCAACTCCGTCCCCGCCGTGTTCGGAGAAGCAATACAACGGGTTCGAGACACGTGAGCCCCATGCTTCTGAGGTTCGTCTGCCTGCCTATCCTCCGCCGCAACTCTGGGTACTTGACGCCAAGCCCGGCAGCCGCGAGACCATCGCTCGAGCCATAAGCACAATCGCCCCGCACACCAAAAGGTTATTTAGTCAACGTGTGAATGCCGTTAAGAAATTTGAGATAATCTACTGAACTATTGAGAACGATTTATATTGATAGAACAGAAAGATATAACTTTTTAATTTTGAACAATTCCTAGTGTGTGTTTCATTGCATGTACAACTTTCCACTGTGCCAACTAGTTTGTATCATAATGAATATTGTACGCTGCCTTTTGGTCCTTGAGCAGACTTGGCAGAATGAGACTACAGCACTGTAGGCTGACTGAGGATGAAGTATGGCAGCTGCTGCTGCATCTGCACAGCGCCGGCATCAGAAGCATCGGTGTCGGGCCGACGCGCTTCACAAAGAATCCGTAGGTCTCAGTCTTCAGACACATTCGTGCCTTTGATTTATATCAACAGAATCTCGTGACGCAAATATCTGTAATAGTTATACATGTCGTACAAGTCTGTACCGATTATAAGAGCAATGTAAGTTATAGTTATATACTCGCTGCCGTTCACCAAGCTTGGACACGTCATTTCAGAGAGGCGGGCACACGTTCATGAGAATTTCTCGCGACGGTCGCCGGACTCGCGAATTCACTTCATACTTTTTTACATTTTGAAACATATTGAAGTATCTGGAACTGACACTACAAATATTTAATTGGAGCCTACAAGCTACAGCAATATATTTTAATCAAATATATTGCAATATATTTAATTAGAATTTTATGAGAAATGTTTTCAGATTTAATGCATATACGGAATAGGAAATATAATTAACTCTATCGAACCTAATTTTATCAGGATAATTATTAAAAATAGGTATTTCTGTACGAATATTTGTTAAACCAATTCTTTCTGCTAAAAAATCGGTGAATAGAACGAGTTCAAATATCCTAATGAATTATTGTGAAATTTCATAATCAATAAGGCAATTTGCAAATTAATTCTATCGTAATCAGTAAAAATTTATTATATAGTTTGTTATTCTGATTAATAAACTAACTGGATCAAAAGCACTTCATTTTTATGAAGGTTTCTTGTGTAATAATTATTAGTGTTGATTCTATCTAAACTTACAATTCGAATCCCCTGCCACCGAACAGTGAAGGGCACCTGGAGCTATTTGTGGCGGACGACCTGCCGGACTTTACAGGGTGAGTTTGTTGTGACCTTGCCTTCCCTTGCTTAGTGCTGGGTGATCCAGACTCAACCTTGTGAGTGTACTGGGTCTAAAATACTTCACTTGGGAGTTTCATGTGCATCAAATAACTTTACTGCTTTTAGATTAATCATAAATATTTTGCAAAGCGATCCTAGAAGTGTGAGTCGTTCATTGTTGTCTCATTCATTCCAAAATTGTTTTAACATACCTATATTTGCGTGCCATATATCAGTAAACAAACAATGCAAGATTTTCCTTTGGACGTTCATCACTTGGTGTTTCATACAATCGACAAATCCAGAGTCGATCATTGCCCATGTGAGTGACCATTTTTATTCGCAGGACTGCGAGTGCCGTGCAGCAAGTCATCGCTCAGCTACAGTCCCGGGACGCCGGGGACTTCGAGGCCCAGTGGCCGGAGCTGAGGAGGGCGATGGAGGAAGCGGGCGCCTCAGCGCGGCACTGGTGGGAGGTGCTGCTGAGCCGTCCTCACGAGCCCGCGCTCGCCGAGTTCGCTGCTCGAATAACTCGGATGTGCTTGAATCTTGGAACTGGAAAAAATAGGATGATTCGTGCGCGGTTCTTTGATACTTATCGTATCGAGGATACATTGTTGAATCTAAGATAAACGTGGGTTAAATTAAAAATTGTATATAAATTTCATTTTAAAGTCAAGAAGTTAAAGTTAAGCTAGTGACATGGACGATGTGTGTTCAATTATCGTTTATTTCAAAGATCTTTTGAATGGATCTTTTTTAATCAAAATCAAAACTGGTCTAAAAAGTAATTTATGTTCAGTCAAAACCAATTATTACTATTCAAGTAGAAGTTAAATTGTCGAGAATCGTCAGAACTGTAGAATTATCGTTGCCGAGCAATGCAAGGATTGCCTGATAATATAATGCATGCAATATGTTCGCCTTTTAAATTTCTGTAATGCATCGAGGGCAAGAATTTATACGACGAGTCTATCCGAGAATTTCCTATATATTATTCATTTAATCTTCTAAATTGCGAAATATTCTTCGTAAAAATGTCTGCGTGATGGCACTCCTAGGAATAAATCCCGTTCAGCCGTGTTGAGCATTCAACAGAAATTAAAGTTATTCAAAATGAATAAAATTTTGTCGGCTCACTATGCTAGGGTAACTTGTGAAATGTGCTACACCCATTAAATCTTGAATTAGATTTCAATTGATTCCTGCTCATTTAGTTCCAACTCTCACACATTCTCAACTTCCTACAGTTCCAAGATCAAAAGTTTCCAGGGGCACATCAGGACGGAGGCAGGCATCGCGGCGCTAGCTTCAGCGGCCGCGTCAGCGTCTATACACATCAGGGTCGAGGCGCCGCTCAACCTCAGCGCACTGCACGGGAAATACGCTGAACTGCGTCGGTATTCTCAGTGTTAGAAGCCAGCACACATCAAATGTGTTAACGTATTAGTTGAACGGAATTGTGCTTCAAAAGTCGCTCATTTATGAGAGTAAACCTCGCACATTTTTTTTCCAGTTATGGCTCCGAGAAACATTTATGTCATGCTAGAGGTTAGTTATTTATAAAGATTAGTTATTTTGATTATTGGGTGGCATTGTTATTTAATACGCCTAAAGAATTCGCTGCTCCTACTGCTTCAAGCAATTTATGCTTATTATATCGCTTCTTTTATTTGATTTCGAGGCGTCATCGCATGGATGCCATTTGCTTCTGAAGTCTTTCATTTGTGAGAAGAAAAGATCCTGTCGTTTTAGCGTCTGAAATAACACCATTAGCTCCTGCTGTGAGAATGGCTTCATGACTCACGCTACTCTCTACTGCTTGGATATAATTTTGCTCCTAAACTCGATTTAGCACAAGTGCTTTTTTCAAGCAACTGGTAGCAGTTATATCTTTTTTCGCAAGTAACTGTATATACATTAACCTGTAAATACATTAACATTAACAAGTAATTTACCTGGTATTTGTAAGCGGTTTTTTATTGGTAGAGTTTAAAGATCATCGTCACGAAAAATTTACCTGCCAGCGATTTAACGAAACGTTGGTTCTTACTCCTGTCACTGAAATTCATTGTACATCTCCTGCAAAAAGTCCTCTCAATATCGGGGTATATCCTAATATGCAAAAACGTCCTCTCAATACAGTATGTTTAGGAAAAAAATTCACTTTGAATTTTCCAACCAGGGCATAAACCCATGGTCGCGCTCTATGAGGCATTTCTAGTTAAAATTCCTTTCACTACAAGCATTCACAGCTCATAAAATTAGGCAGAGTTTATTTCATTTCCCCCGTAAACAGTGCACACATGTTACGTATTAGAGATTGACAAGGTAATTTCATGGAATATTTGCCCAACAGACGTTTGCACGCCCGTACTTGACACGGCTGTTGCAGCAGCGCCTCTACCAGCCCTGCCTTCTCCCGTGCTGCAGGTTCTCAGCCCCGGTGCTGGCACCTGGGAGGCCGTGGCCAGGACGGTGCTGACTTATGCACCAAGATGCAAGAAGTTAGTCCATTTGCGGCCTTGGCGTAGCTAAAAATTTAGAGTTTATGTGTCATTTTATGGTTTAATTACCTGTCACATAAATATGAATATCGTTAAATGACTAACATGAACATCAATTAGCATAATTTACCACAATGTCAACAGTTGGGCTAAAATGTTTTCATAGTTAGTGTTAATCTTAAAAACATTGAAAATTTTGAACTGTTAACGTTTTCACGACTTGTTGCGAAAATGCGAGAAGTGTTTGCGTAATAACTTGATGGATGTATGCAACAACAAACTCCGCTAAGGGCTGGCCGTAAGAAAGATTAGTAAAACGAGTGCCTAGTCATGCGTACAGTTGCAGGAAAAGGGTTATGGGTCGGGTTTTGAAGGATGGATACCGCATTGGTCAAGACAGAGAACAAAAATCCTCATTCTTCTTATGGTCCAATTTTTTTTAATATCAAACTAACTGTTTCATTTACCATCTAATTCCTGATCACAGGTTCTTGGCAATCGAACTGTGCCAGTCTGCGCTAAGCGAGGAGGAGGAGCGCCTGCTGCTGATGCTGCTACACGAGAGGCACATCAGGACGAACGATGCAGGCACCACACGCGCCGAGCCCCACGGGTATGGATGGAGGCAGGGCTCATTTAGCTATTCCTCCTTCTTATCTAATTAAACTTGCCACAATAAGCATGTCACCCATTGCACGTTATCAACAATTATTTATACAACGGAATTAACAATTTGACTAATCAGGGGTAATTTATCACCACTTTCCACATTTTTAAGCCACTTGTACAAGGGATTTAGGCGTGAGTTTTTTGTGGCATAAAATGACTTCATTGAGAGATAACATGGGGTGGGAGTCAGACCTAATTGCAGGTAGTAGTCATTTCTGCCCCAGGCACCGGTAGGACAACGATATCTTATTCGTGTTACCTGCCGTTAAGCCGCTAGTTATCCTACTGAATATATTTTGGCGTGGAAAAGTTGGCAATCTCTGTAATCGTTTTTGATACAATGAAATTACCCATCTCTCATCCTGCTGCCCAATATTTTTATCATAGACAGGTAGGCATTTATAGGTAATTGCATATCGATTTGGCTACCAATGGTAATAATTCTGCTCCTAATTTGCCACACTTCTCTTTAGTTTCACTTCTTGTTGTTTATCTGATACAAATCTTATAATCGATATTTAACACACATCTTCCTGTCTAATCGATCATATCTGCCTGTCCAAAGTTGGAGACAATGCTCGAATCAATTGACATGATAAATAATTTAAAAATGTAAAAATAAAATTTGATATTAAAGAAAAATTTCGAAATAACTTTTTTTAATGTTTGAAAGACGTTGGCATCGGAGACATTGGCCGCTTTAGAAGTGTTATCTTTAATAAGTAATTTTTAAACACATATTATTGCCCTGAAAATCCCACATCTTTTCATACTTGGTAACGGTAAACACTTGAAATAATTTATCAACACGAATCTATGAAGTTTGAATGAAGTTTTCGCACCGTAAAGTTTTGCATGAACATTCGAAATTTACTAAATTTTTTGTTTTAATTGTAAATTCTTTCCCATATATTTTTTAATTCATTCTCTACAACTTAAAGTGCGTTGGAAATTCTCCGTAGATTCCGCCGTTGGAAGTACTATGTTGACGGATGCTAATGACGCATCAATGTCTGAAATGATTATAATCGTGTATATGAGTTGTAGGTCGCTCGTGACTGATGGGTTTAATGGAGGTCAAAATTCTCGATCGATTTCCTCAATTAGCGTAATCGGTGTTCGTGCGACGGCCATCCGGTGAAAAATTTGCCGATTTAATCTTTATAGAATATCGATTTATTCCAGACCAGTGGTTTCCTGATGAATTGCCTACAAGCCGCTGTGTAGCAAATTGAGCTTTTCGAAAGATGCAGCTTTGCCAAGGTTCTATTGCGGCATGTTCTATGGAAAGTAAAGCTTCACGGGAGATATTCCGTAGTTGAAAATATTTGATTTAGTGCAGGCATTGGAGCATCGCAAAACTTTGGTTCTGTAGCGTTGATTGGGTTCACGTGTGGCTAACTAAAACAGTGATGGGAAAAGTTGATCTCAGTTTATGCTGTCGTGTCGTTTTTTATGCAGTATAGTTGGGTTGCACGAGCGGCGTTGTTTTTTCAGGGAGGCTATAGGTTAGGACTCGGAGAGGCTTCACCAAGAACTTTATTAGTTTGTGGGAGGCATTTGCTGTGGAATACTTGACATTTTCTTCAAGTTGGACAAGGAATCCAACTTGACCTTTCGGTGGGGTAAGGAATCTGACTATACGTCCTGTGCGCATCGCGGTGCAAAAGACAGGTCTGGAATCGTAACATGTACTGTTTCCTGCTCGAGTCTTGTTGGTATCGACATAGCTCCGATGGCTTTCATTTCTTATCGACAGCGCACAACGAAGGCGACTCCGCCTCTGCGAAGAACCTCCGGCAACCTTCTCACCGTGACAAGCGCCTGGGGAGCAGAAGTGAGCGAAGGCATTCAGGCTGGGGGATGCCTACTTTGGTGGGATCCTCGCCGGTTAATAATGAAGTGGAAATATCAACCGCATTGTCATGCATTTGAATGATAGTTCATTTGTCTGTTGCTGACACCCATGACGTATCTCTGGAGTGGAATTTAAGAGGTTCAGATACTTGATGCCTGATTGTACTTTGTGAGACGCGAGATAAGAAATAGAGAGTATTCTGATGGTAAATGAAATGTGTAGCGTTATTATCGGCTGATTGTTTATGTTTCCTCTGCTGCCGTATCCTAAGAAAACTTCTAGCGCGATGTAATCCGCTGACTTTTTTTAATCGCTATTATTATTGCGCTAACATCGCCCTCAAGTGCCGTAAGTGGTTGTTTATATGGTCTGCGATGGGTTTTAGTAAGCATGCCTATTCTTATAGTAACTGGCATGAGATCGAATTTGAGGGAAGGAAATAAGCATTATAAACGTTACATTAGTTATTTCTCCCTTAGTTTTAATATCACCTTTGAGTTGGCCTCATTTTGCATGTTAAAATTGTCACTGCGTCCCGAGTAATACGCTGTTCTATTGATCCAGTTTACTAGGGTGTAAATAATACTGGTGTTGTCGAAATGAAGGTGGATATATAAAATGATAAAGTAAGAAGTGGTCGTGAATATTAGGTTTTAAATTATTCCATTAATCATCAGGTGCCTACAGTGCAGTAATCTACAATGTTAGTCTATTTTTATTACAAGATCTAAATTTGTGTTTTTTTTTGTGTTTGCAGTTATAGACTCTTCCTTGACTTATTCACCTAGGAAAGGTAAAAAGTGAAACCTAAAGTGAAAGTCCTACAAAAACCCAATGCTTATAAGTTGAATATTTTTTGTACATAAAATTAGATTCATTTTCAGTTCAGTTTTATTACTCCTTTCTTTGATATCATGAGTACTTTCCATTTAATTACACGTTAATGTCGGTGGGTAAATGACTTTTTTATCTTCATATATATATATTCATTTAATGGGCACCGAGACCATACTTGTGGATACAGTTTGAAATGAAAAATAAGAAGAGTTGGCAGAGGTGGCCAGGTCTGAGAAAAATGAAATTAGACGAGACGAAAATTTGTGATAATTTCGTAGCAAAATTACGCAAGGCTTTTTTCGAACTATGACTCGTTTTTTGTTCGTACATCTCGAAGCTGGTAATCAGTTTACTTCGCCCTGAGGTCTAATTTAGAAAAAATTCTCGGAATAATCAGATCGTTGTTTTCAATACAATTAAATTTTTTTAATACTAAATTTACACATTCACCTGATGTGGCGATATTCAACGTGAAATTAACACAAAATGATTGTTTTAAAATCACTTATGCTGATTATGTTTAGAGTCATCGTGACGAGCATTCTTTTGCAACCATTCCTCGCACCTACTAACGGCTGCCGTCGCGGCTGGAAGGATTTATTTATTTCTTAACAACCCAAGAGCAGTAGAATTCTACCAAAGTTCCCTCATAATTTTAAGCGATAATTCTAGAGAAGAAGCTCAGATCAGGAGTTTCCACTTTCAACAGTGAGAGCAACAAAGTTTGAGTTTGTCCGAGCTGCAGCTATGAGAACGATTGAAATATCACCATAGCATTTGAAATCACCTGCACGGCAACACACGGGCTGCACGGCAACACACGGGCTGCAGGACAACACACGGGCTGCAGGACAACACACGGGCTGCACGGCAACACACGGGCTGCACGGCAACACACGGGCTGCACGGCAACACACGGGCTGCAGGACAACACACGGGCTGCACGGCAACACACGGGCAGCACGACGACACACGGGCTGCACGGCAACACACGGGCTGCACGGCAACACCCGGGCTGCACGGCAACACCCGGGCTGCAGAAAGGATGCTGAGGAAGGCAATGTTATTGGTAAAAGTTCTACTCTCGTGGTAAGGGATCCATGTGATCAGTTGCAAATTTCGCAGTTTGTCTTTTATATGCCGAAATCGCGGAATTGCCGATTCTGTAGAATCGGCAGCCAGGTTGACGAATCAGTAGAATGAGCATTTCTATACTATAGGAATCTGGGGTTAGTTCAATCAGCCAATTTTTCATATTAAAATATAAAAGAACTTGACCCAAACTTGACCTAACTTTTCTAACTCTAACTGTCGATTTATGTTCTAACTTTTATTCTAACGCCCGATTTTCCGAATCAGCAGCGAAATGCTGATTCTACAAATTCAGCAAACTGGACGCAGATTCCATAGAATCTGTTATTCCGCGATATTGGCGCGACTTCTATAATTAATTGGTTATTTTGCACTGCAAATGAATCTCAACGCAGTGATTCACAGCCTAGTTTTATTTCGTGACGTTTTGGCAGCGAATTTAGTAGGTTAAATAGTCTTAATGATGGTTGGAATGGTTCTGGCGTTGTTGGAATGTTTATAATGTTTAATAATATGATAGAAGTTATGGCTCGCAAGCTATGTTAGATCATATGTGATGATTTTCGAGAAGATCTTGCGATATTGTCAAGGATCTCGTTATCAGGGGCCGTATTATCAAAACTTCGTAAGTACGCAAAATCGACTTACGAGTGGAGTAAGTGCTGACTTGATGACGTAACTCTAGAGGTGGTATTATCAAAACATTTGCGCGGGAAGATACGTAACGTAACAGTACGCCTGCTCGGAGATGTCGTAAGTGAAGTTCCCCACAAGTTTAGAGTGTCTGCTGAAGCGATAGGAAACTATTGATTTACTAGCAAGTAGCAACACCTTGATTTGTGATAGAATTTTGTCAATAATCAGACAGCGCGGATTATACACGCATAGAATGATGGCTCTACTTGTGATGGCTCCACTACTTGATCGTGCAACATTTGCACGATCAAAATATGTGATCGTGCTAAGCAGTGCTACTGGAAAAAAATTCAATTCATTTTTCATAATTTTTTCATTCATTTTCAAAAATTCAATTCATTCATTGCTTCTAGTCGGAACTTTATATCTCTACCAACCATAATTTTTAGCTCCGTACACAGATTTCTTCTTCAACTCACGCTGTTTATTAAATAGAGTTCACAACTATTTTAGAACGGCTTTTTCTGGGCTAACAATGAGCAATACCGACTCAATACCGACAGACAGCATTCGATAGTCGATACCATCGAAGGCATCGATTCCCGCCATCGAAGTTCACAGAATGTAAATAGTTGCAAATTCCGCAGACTTTGCCTATATCTGCCGAAATCGAAGAATTGCCGATTTTATGGAATCGGCAGCTGGCAGGTTGACGAATCTGTAGAATGAGCATTTCTATAGTATAGGAATCTTGGGTTAGGTCAGTCAGCCACGTTTTTTGAATATTTAAATATAAAGGAACTTGATCGAACTTGACCTAACCTTTTCCAACTTAAACTGTCGATTTATGTTCTATCTTTAACTTGTTGTAGAATCAGCATCGAAATGCTGATTCTACACATTCGGCAAACTGGCGGCCGATACCATAGAATAGACAATTCCGCGATATCGGCACGACATATACAATTAATCGGTTATTTTGCAATGCAAATGGATCTCAACGCAGTGATTTACAGCCTAGTTTTATTTTAGTCCTTTCTGTTCATCCTTCCTTATCAGTTCCTTTCTGTTCAAGAGGAAAGTGTTGGCAGGGAGTTGAGTGGGTTAAATATTCTTAATGATGGTTGGTTTACAGAAGCTCCTGACATTGTTCGAATGGTTATACTGTATAAGATGATGATAAAAGTTATGGCTCGCAAACTATGTTATAGAGTATTTGCGATGAACTGCGAGATCTTTCGACATTGTCAATTATCTCATTATATGAACCAGGGATGCCAGATGGCCTGAAAAATGGACAAGTCCGCCGGCAAAAAAGGCACGTAAATCAATATATACCGGCATATTTGTAGCTTTCGGTGTACAAATTCCATTTTCCTTTTTCGAACTTTTCAAAATTTAATAAGGAAGTACAGTCATCATAAATTTTAGCCGACCAACGCAATCGAAAAAAAAACTAAATCGCGAAAGTTGTCCGGAAAAAGATCATCTCGCAACCCTGAATTCTGAACTGAAATAATTCAAAACAAAACATTACGACTCATCAACAAGACGCACTGGCCCGACTTCGCTCCTACACAATAACTCCTGTTGAACTTTAATGCCGACATAATTGTACTTTATTACACCAGTACAATTGTCATATTGTCGTGACCCCGGAAATACTTGAGTTTAGGCACAACATTTCCTTTGATTGATTCTCTTCAACAAATGGGTAACTAAATTTGATTTGCTTTTTCGAAATTTAGATCAATAGAGTAACGAGTAACGTTCATTTATTCAACATTTAACTTCACATCTACTATCAAATCTGTCTCCTGAGTTGAAAAACATTCTATGATGAACTGAATTCCTAATGGAGGCGAAACAACATCACCTAACGCGATATTATTAACGCAATTCAACCTTATTCGTAGTCTTGTGCTTCGCTTCAAGTTCAACTTCCCATACAACTTTGAAATAAAAATTGTCTTTAATTCAAGGTACTGTTGTCGCACGTCAAACTTCATACCTGGATTTCGATTTGGAAAAAGTCATCACTGAATATTATCAATATTAAAAATGCTCCATCTCATTAACTCAGCGGACACATACAATTTTTCACTCACTCCCACTCTTCGGGTCCGCCATAGGAGGATGAGGAAACGTTGACTGTCGATTTGAGCCCGCATCCGGGCCACGCTCCAACCGCAAGCAGCATGACAGCACTTGGAGCAACCACCTTGCGGTCAGCCCTAACAACATTCCATCATGTGGTCAGCCCCAACAACAGCCCATCATGTTGTCAGCCCTAACAACACTCCATCATGTTGTCAGCCCTGACAACATTCCACCATGTTGTCAGCCCTAACAACATTCCACCATGTGGTCAGCCCTAACAACATTCCACCATGTGGTCAGCCCTAACAACACTCCATCATGTTGTCAGCCCTAACAACATTCCACCATGTGGTCAGCCCTAACAACATTCCATGTTGTCAGCCCTAACAACAGCCCAACACGTGGTCAGACCTAACAACATTCCACCATGTTGCCAGCCCTAACAACTTTCCATCATGTTGTCAGCCCCAACAACATTCCACCATGTGGTCAGCCCTAACAACACTCCATCATGTTGTCAGCCCTAACAACATTCCACCATATCAGCCCGCGAAGTGGTCAGGCCTAATGATATCCCATCATGTGCTCACTCATAGTCAAAGTCCATTAGTTGGCCATGTTCCCCTGAGACGCAGGCAGGTCATTGTGCATACATGACGACCATGTGCTTTTTAGATTCATGAGAGTTGAAAGTCGGGACATTATTGTCCATCAAGGAGCCAATTGTTAACGGGATTCAGAGAGCGTTTTATCTCAGCATTATTGTTAACAAATTGATTAATATCTAATCATTCGGAAGGTAGCACATATATGGCGTTCGTAGAGATGCTTGTTTTCTTGGAAATTGGTTCATCGTGCTAACGTCGTTAACGCACCGAAGTTGAATTTATTCATGAACAGACAAGACATACAGTGTCGAAAAGATTAAATTATAGTTTATAGATCTTCTATCAATGTAATGACAACTAATTGGGAATATTCAAATTTATTTTTCTACCATTACATTTTAAAATTTAACGCAGTCATTCAGCGGCCAGGCAGGTCGCGACTTTGTTTAATCGGTTTTTGAGGCTTTCCCTCCAGCGAAGCCGAAGTCGAGCAACGTTGGTCGTCAACATACAGATTATCTTCAGCCACCATCCTTGCTACTCCCACCTGTGTCGTTCCCGTTGCCAACCTTTGTGC